ACCCTTCTGGTGGGTTTTCTTACTCTGCTTGTGTGTGCTTACACTTCTGGTGGGTTTTCTTACCCTGCTTGTGTATGATTACCCTTCTGGTGGGTTTTCTTACTCTGCTTGTGTGTGCTTACCTTTCTGGTGGGTTTTCTTACCCTGCTTGTGTGTGCTTACTCTATTGGTGGATTTTCTTACCCTGCTTGTGTGTACTTACCCTTCTGGTGGGTTTTCTTACTCTGCTTGTGTGTGCTTACCTTTCTGGTGGATTTTCTTACCCAGGTTGTGTGTGCTTACCCTTCTGGTGGATTTCCTTATCCTACTTGTGTGTGCTTACTCTATTGGTGGATCTGCTTATCCTGCTGGTGTCAGCGCTAAGACTAGACACTAGTCCAACATTTCTTGGGCGTCTTTTCCAATATAGGTTGAGTCTTTTCATAACTATCACTAATAGCTAAGCTTGTTGGACTGAAAGACATGTTGATAGACCTGGGCATCAGACCAGTGACTGAAGTTGCAGATGTTTGTGTGAAATTGCTGACTGTATTGTAAATCCATTCACTCCCTCTCATGGTCCAGGGCAACATCCATATCCAGAATTATCTCCCCTTGACCAAAGTTGGTGCTTCCGAGTGAGCAAATCTGGCTCAGGTCTGATGTCAGCATCATTACCATATCATTGAAGCAGTTAGTGAATGTGTGAGTATGGTAAAACACCACTTTTAGCTAAATTCTAGTCATATCATGGTAGAGGACTCAAGAGTGAGTGAGTGAGTGAGTGAGTGAGTGAGTGAGTGAGTGAGTGAGTGAGTAAGTGAGTGAGGTTTTAAGCCGCTTTTAGCAATATTCCAGCAATATCTCGGCAGGGGACATCAGAAATGGGCTTCACACATTTTACCCATGTCGGGAATCAAACCTGGATCTTCGGCGTGACGAGCGAACCCTTTAACCACTAGGCTACCCGACTGCCCCAGAGGACTCATGAACTCACTGTATTCATCATAATTATCATCTAATAATTACATTGAATTACAGCAGGACCGAGGTTTGACAACAGCTTATATCTAAGTGACTCAAAATGAACTCATCCACATGATTATCAGAGATAACATACACATCCAATATCAACATCCATTTAGCATTAAAATAGATTAAAACTGAAATTGTAATCCAAATTACTGATCATTTGACCAAACGCTATTAAAAAAATAGTTCCGACTCCCTTACGTGACAAGGGTGGGTATAGGCTACAGTGAGGTGAAGCTTCTGGCAGGGAAAGGGAAACTTATTACTGAGTGAGTGAGTTGGGTTTAATGTCGCTTTGAACAGCTACATCAGGGCGTGTCAGCTTCTTGTTGGACGAAAACCCTAAGTGATGCGCGTCTAAGACGTTTACCACTTTGGTGAAACCTACAAGCATGTGTACCGCGCTGACAAACCTGGAAAAAAGAATCAGGGCGAACCAGGATTCGAACCCACGATAATAGATTTGTGGCCATACTGAGAGCAGTATCATCCTTGCATACAGTTACACTGTAGATCTCCAAGGTTATTCTCATACTGATTATAGATATCAGATATAACATCTGGAAAGAGAAAGAACTCCCTGTGAAAAGGTTCCCACCAGTCATGCTAAGTAAATAATTTCAAGGCCAGTAAATATTTTTGTTTCCAGTTTGTGACTTTTTTCAAAACTGATCTAGTAGAGTGAGTGAGTGAGTGAGTGAGTGAGTGAGTGAGTGAGTGAGTGAGTGAGTGAGTGAGTGAGTGAGTTGGGTTTAACGCCGCTTTTAACAGCATTCCAGTCATATCACGGCGTTTCAGCTTAATGTGGGAGGAAAGCCCGAAGTGATGCAGGTCTCAGACGTTTACCACTTCCGTGAAACCCACGAGCACGGGTATGGTGCTGACAAATTTAGAAACATAATCGAGGCGAACCGGGATTCGAACCCACAATCATAGGTTTCTGGAGTGCCCAAGGGACGCAATTCTGCACAGCGAATCGCGGCGCCTTAGACGACTGGGCAACCCGTGCCCCCGGATCTGGTAGAGGAAGACTCCATTTCATTTTATATTTAAGTTACAAATATGTTCCAAATGGGCCACCTTGACCACGCCTTCTGCAGTTCAAAGGATGAAGAGTTGGCCAGGGGAGTGGCCACACCCCACTGCAAGTGGTACAGTGTGTGAAAACGTTTGAATGTGCTGCCAAAAAGGGGGAAACTTGAAGAGGTCTATATAAATCTAAAAATTACAAAAATAGTTGTGGGGTAACTTTAGCATAAGACACAAAAAATGTATATACTACACAAAAGAAGTTAAGGACCACACGATACTTTCATGGTACTATAGTTAATCTGTCACGCCCTGATTTCATTTTACTACTTTGACAGATTAACAATAATAATATGAAAAAATCAGATGGCCCTTAACTCCTTTTGCGTAGTGTATGTACAAGTCCAACCATGATGCTTTGACATGCCATGCAACTGAGCTCCTAACATCAACACTTCACTAGTCATGCAGGTTCATTAATAAACTGTTACCATGGTAACAGTTTTTCATTAATTTCAAAATTCTCACATTAAAGCCAGTAATCATGATGCTGCTATGAAAGTTAACAAGATGGAAATTTTGATATTTTGGAAAACACTGTCGAGGGCCGAGGGAATGAAAAACAAAGTTCACTTCATGAGTGAGTGATTTTATTCCAAGAAAAACAGAACAATACAGTGTTACAAAAAAAGATCAAAGTGATTCCATAACAGAGGTACAAGATATATCTGAAGATAAGTATAATAATCTCAGTTTGTCAAACATCCTGATAAAGCTCATGCAATAGCAAGCATGGAGCATCATGAGAACTGATCTTAACATTGGAGAAGAACCTCATCCGACCACAGGCTAACTCGTGTTCATCAAAATCAAGAAACATAAAATACATTTTGTTTACACTTATTAAAACTCTGTTAACCAAATAACAATTATTAAAATCAAAGTGATCAATAAATGTATAAACAAATAAGTAACAAATGATGAACAATAAACTAAATATAATTAAAAAAAATAATATTCTGAAACAAATTCACTAAAAAAAAATAGAAGTAATTTGAACGAAACAAAAATATGTGGAATGTACCATTGTTATTAGACATTGTCATGTATGCATGTACCAAATATCTACCAGTATGCATGAATACTTGCATGCCTAAATATTTTACTATCGTCTGCACAATTCATAATTAATTCTCAGCACAACCCACTGTGAGCCCACACCCTTGTTAAGCATGTGACCTGCATAGCAATTGTCAATGATCTCTGTGTGTGAATATGATATCTGACATAGTCCCAGGGTACAACACAAACAAGGAAAGCGGAGTCAAATAACAATGGATCCACGTCCGTATCTTACACTGGCTGTGAACTGCCCCCAATATAGCGAGTAAAACCAACCACCTGTAGATTGCAGAGACAGTTTGCATTACGGAATTAGAATGACATCACCATAACATGGCTGACTGGCCATCTGCAATTCATGTGCATTTCTCATCTCCCACTGGTCCTTAATTACTCTCCGCCCATAAACAATAAAACAATACATCCCTCCCTTCATCCACCTCAAAATATACAATTCTTCCTGGAAAAAGCTTTTCTTGTATCATCATTTGTTTTTATCTATCCTTGTATTATTTTCAAAATGATATTCAAAGGGAAGTAACTCTGCATGTAAATTTTTGTTTTTCCCTGTCAGCTCTTCACTTTGTCTCCGTTGAAACTGCCCCCACCCCCCCACACACACACACTACAGCTGCACTTGAGTTGGCAGACTGAGTTTTGATAACAGATGGTCATATACAAGGTCTGGAATGCTCTACTTGAATTCAAACACAGAGTTATGGAAACTGACCCCTTGAAAAGCAGCACCAACAAAATACTGATGAAGATGCCTTTGGCAATCGTTCAGTTGTATTCTTAACCAAAGGTATTGCCTTTAAATATTTTTAATAGAGTTCATCAATCGCCTGCTCCCTGAAGTTTATGCAATTGGACCACAGAGATAAGAAACACACAGCATAGCTGCCTGCATGAGGTCGAGCTCACCAGCTGAGTATGGCTTCCATAATATCATGGCGGGACACGGGAATTACACCTGATACACTGTTCCCTTTCCTAACATTGAGTCCATGAAATAAAGTTATCTTATTTAAAAACATATATCTACAAAATAAAAAATATAAACCAAATGGAGCCCTGAACAATGCCTAATTTCAGAGCTGAGACAATTGAGGCTTTCTAAATCACTTAGACTTGAGTTTGATGTATTTTATAAGTTGTTATCAAGGGTCTGAGAGACTAATTGTCTCCACCACTTCCTGGAGGGATCCATGTGGGCTGATTGTATGACACAGGCTAGGTATCACACAGGACAGTGTCAGGGGGGCAGCAGGGCTTAGATTCTTGGTACTGACACTTTCATCCAGGTAAGTCAAGCCAGGTGAGGTCAAAGTGTAAACAGGTCTCTGTATGGCCTACATTGAACTGTTCGTACAAGCACACTGACCTACAGAGGATCACTAACCTGACTGACAACAAAGCATCCTTATCCTCAAGATGAACCTTCCCTATTCACTATATATCACACCCTATTCACTACTTATCACACCCTATTCACTATATATCACACAGTTTTCATCACACCCTATTCACTACATATCACACCTTATTCACTATATATCACAGTTTTCATATGACTGTCACAATGCAGGTCAATGTAACAATGATGTGATACGTCACATGGGTATTGTGGCTGTGCGCAGCAAATTTCAGTACATGCATATTATTTCAATGTTTGCCTGTTTGTCATCATGTTTGTTAAATTTCCACCAAAAGACTGACTCATTAACAAAAACAAAAATATTTTTGTTTACATCCCCCTCTCTTCTAGCTGAGTGTCCTCAGACTCCCAGGCCCCTCCCAGCTATGTCTATGGAGACATCCCCCCCCCCCCCCCATCAGCTATGTCCCCAACACACACTCCCCTTTTTCCCAGACCCCTGCCCTGCCTTCTAGCTATGTATCTCCAGACCCCACACCTTTTTTCTAGCTGAGTGACTCCCAGCCCCCTCCTAGCTATGTGCCTTGAGACATTTGTCCCTCACCGCATGGGCATGGCTCTATCTACAGATTACTTACATCATATCACATTAACTGGATTTAAGCCTGTGGTCAGAAAGTGATCTCACAACATTTCACCTCATAACTCCATCACCATGGAAACCCTAAAAGGGCATCAATTCAACCTCAATGTTTTCATGAGCCTCCAATACCTAAATAAACTAAAACCCAGAAATTCAACTGACATAAAACACTCGAAAAGACGAAAGAAAAAATAATCTTATTTTATCAACTGAAACAATAGCTGAGGATTTATATGATAAACCCCAAACCTTGTTCAACAGAACAGCTCCGTAATATCTCAAGAGAATATTGTTGCCCTTTTAGGTATATCATGTATATTCTGGCGCCAAAACAAAATAATAAATATGGACAAGACGGATTACATATTCATCTGATATAAAGACCAGAGAACTGATATGACCGTACATAACAGGTGACCCAAGCAGTAGACTATCACACATGGAACCAGGGTTAGGAATTAATGCTTATTTCTCTAGTCATCAAAGATCACCTGTTGCATCTACGTAATGGTGAAAATGGAAGTCGACAAGGAAATGACACAAATCCTTCCTGGAGTTTACAAGTCTCTTAACTCTCAGACTTATGTTCCTATGGAACCCTGGGAAGAAGAAACCACCACGTACATGCATCATTTGGCTTCAGGTATGCTATAAACTTCAGTAAACATTCACAAAAAGCTGGCAAAGAGAAACCTACCAAAGAGTAACCATGACGATTGTGACCAGAAAAGTAGCATATCCTTGTAGGCCTATGTGGGAACATGATATGGCGTACATCAACATCAGCAGCCATAACAACACCGATAGAAACCCAGGAGTGCTAATATTTGTCTACACGATTATCTTAAATGTTAGGTGAAACATTTCAACCTGTCTGAATCACTCTTTTATACCATTTGAGGATCTCAGTGTTACACTGGAAGAGCAAGGCTGGCTCTACACAGTGTGTGCATGGAATCAAGTACTTCAGAACGGCAATACTCTATCAGGACGGCAAGAAAACTGCATCTTGAATCTGTGCTTCAAGCTAACAATTTATTTAGAACTTGCCCATGTAATAACATACAGGTGAGTGCAATAACAAAACCAGTCCACTCGGCCAAGGAATTTCTTTATCATGGGTCATTTAGCTATAGGCAATGGCGAGTGGCTCATATTTCGACTCCTTGTGTTTATGGAATGTTTCGACATTTTGCCTCTTATTACATAATGAGGCTCGGACTCATGGAGTTATACCACTGCGTTGTAACGTACTTGGCAAGACCACATTTATGCTGATTGTGTGTCAGGATTATGTAGATAATACATAGCACTTATAACACATAATAGTATTGGGTAGTATATAGCATTTCTGGGATTATCATGTAATTAATAGCAGTAATACTTAGTCATCATAGTAACTTATGAAACCGATCATCTTTATATATGTGATAATGTTAGATAATGTATATCCTTCTTTGATTATGCATTGCTGAATAATTTGATTGATTTGTCATATGACATAAATAGATATCTTCACAGCTCTGTGATGGAGGTACTCAGTGTCCAACCCAGAATTAAAAATCAAGGGGGGACTTGTCCCCCCATCATGTAGAAAATAGGGGGGATTTTGAAAAAGTAGGGGGGATAATTGCTTTCTTAAAAAATGTCTTATTTTGTATTATGTACTGGAACATCATCATATAAAAGTGTAACAGATCAGAATAAAGAACTGAAATGAATAACAATACTTTGTGCTTTTTTCTATTTTGATTAAAAAAGTCTGTAATTCTTTTGTTTTTGCACGACATGGTCATTCACTATTCAAAAGATCGTCTGCTATGACAGTCGGCGATTCATATAGTGTGATTTCAGAAACGAAACTAAAACGAACTAAAATGCTCAAAAATATTTTCAGAACTATTCAAGATAGAATATTTATTGTCTTTAAACATCTTGTCAAAGGTTTTTGATTACTAAACAACAAAATACAACATAATTTTGATCAAAGTTTTGATACGTTTTCTACTAAAGTAAATCAAATTTCGTTTCCTTTGCCAATCCTATCGATAATTTATACAGCAACCCAAGGGATGTCACTCGTGTTCAAACTTCCGGTTGTTATCAATCGGTCTTCGACAGTTGTTTACAATGTTTGCTGTGAACTGTCTTTCTTCGTTAATTGATTAAAGATTTAGTGAGTATTGAATCTAGAGGTAGGGATAAACAGCTGATAAAGTAAGTGACTGTACAAGAAATTACTGTGCGCGACAGATCGCGCTTTGATTCTTTTATGAGGGGCGATTTGATTTTTTTAGCGTGAATAGCGTAATCGCGGGCCTGGGTTGGGCACTGTGTCCTTGACAATATTTAATAGCCTGTTTGTTAAGTCAGAAGACTTGAACCACAATTTGACACACACACAAGAGGAGTTCAAACAAAGCAATAAAAAATATCAAATAAATGATCCAAAGAAAATGAATATAAAAAGTCACCAAACATGGTTGGTAAGACAATTACAAACTTGGGCTCATTTGAAAATCAGTGTGCATCAAATAATAAAACAGTGCACTTTCTTCATGTTACTAAGTGTTGGAGAAAACCTATACTGACGACAGCAGACCCAACTCATCGGTGGAATGTAAACAATGCTACTGTACAGAACTATAACCAACTACCTACAGGACCCTTGGTTATCTCTAAGACTGATTGGACCTCTATGATTATCTGTTTGTTATGTACAATAGCTAACATATAGGGCTCCCTGCTCCAATAAATCTACTCCATCAGAGTCAATGTTCTGAAAACATTTAAAAGTCCTTAGTAAGAGACTTTCTTTACATCTAGCATGGATTAAGTTAATAAAATAAAATATTCCAACACTTAAACTAAAACAATCTGAAACCCTACAAAATTAAGCTCCTATCCATGGAACCATTTATGAACCCTGGGCCCCCTTGCACAAAGCAGCTGCAAAAACTAACATTTTTAGTCCACGAGTCCTTATCATGATAACATACAACAAAACCTTTAAAAATGGCAAGTTTCCCACAGTCCTAATGATACCTTAACTATTGGGCAGTTGGCAAGGACTACAGTACTAGTGCCAATTTCTAACGCTACAGGCAATCTCAACACTAAGACTACTTGTAAGTCCGTGGGTAAGTAAGGGAGTTACGATGGTCTTAGCGCTAAGGCTGCTGTGTGCAACCCGAACCAGGGCACCTTATACAGTAATGTAGGGCTGGCTGAAAAGATTGATAATTGGAATTATCATCGATGGGAAGAAATATTAACGATAATCGACATGAAACTGTTGTCATTAATAACAACTCACATCAACTATTGAACAAAGTAAAGTTTAGATTTACCAAAACAGATTTGTCATTGTCAATAATGTCAATTGCCGAGGACGGAAAGCAACTGTTTTTGTTATATCTCATGTCCACAAAGTAATCCATACTACATGTGTCACTAGTCACAAGTGGCGTGAAATCTGTTGACTTCTTTCAGGACTTTCTTGCATATTTGCTTAAAGTTCCTTCTTCAATACTTATCGAAAACTGATCGATATTTAGTTAGCAATTATTGATCTCTAAGATCTATATCGACAACCAGCCCTACATTTATGCATATGAGAAATACAGGAAGTCTGGCATGCTGCTTCCACAGTTACCAGTAGTATACAGGACTACAGTGTACAGATCAGCATTATTAAGCATAGAGCAGAAATATCACAGCATCAAAGCATCAAGCTTGGTAATAATATGCAAGACAATGATAATCACACCTGCATATCATAGAATAAATAACTTGATATATATGCTAAATAGTTTGTAAAATGTCAAAACATGTTTGATATATTAGTGCAGTTTTATTAGGTTATGTAGAGACTGGCTATCTAAATGGGTGTAAATATATATTATGTATAATATGAGATGATAAAATAGATTTTTCAAAAGATCTGGTAACAACGAATTACCTCCGTTAAGATCTTTAGCCCAATCATGGCGATATAGAAACAAAAGTGGCTTATTTACAACAAAGTCTTCTCTGGACTGGCAAATATGCTGACTTTGATATTTCCAATTAAAAAATATGATTATCACATTCGTTTCAGTTAATTTTGATTTAAACTTCTTAAACACAGAATCATAAGAAATAGTTGCCATACATTTTCAGTATTAATAAAAATACAATCTATAAGGAATAAGGAGATATGTAATAGCAGAATAAACTAAGAGTTGAGAAGTATCCACTGGATGGAGCTCGGACTCTCACTCTAGGAATGTTTTGCATAACAGGAATGAAAGACAATTCTATCATCAACTGACTGATTTGTTATAATAGAGTCTGAGCAAACAGTTAAATAGGACAAATATTGCCCCTTGAGACAGAATCATGTGCCTGTGTTTGGTCAAGAGCACACTTAAATGTCTACTGGAACGTTTCTCAATCAAGAAGAGTGAGTGAGTGAGTGAGCTGGGTTTAACGCCGCTTCTAACATTATTCCAGTTATATCACGGCGCGTCAGCTTAATGTTGGAGGAAAGCCTGAAGTGATGCAGGTCTCCGACGTTTACCACATCGGAGAAACCCACGAGCACAGGTATGGTGCTGACAAACCTAGAAACACAATCGGGGCGAACCGGGATTCGAACCCACAATCATAGGTTTCTGGCGTGCCCAAGGGACGCAACTCTGCACAGCGAATTGCACCGCCTTAGACGACTGGGCCACTTTGTTATGAAAGAGTCTGAGCAAATAGAGTTAGAATAGTGTCCCTTGTTAAAATATTGCCCCTTGTGACAGAATCACGTGCCTGTGTTTGGTCAAGAGCACACTTAAATGTCTACAGGAATGTTTCTCAATCAAGAAGATGGTTACAGGGGATATGGCTAATAGTTATATTTGCAATCCCCTAATTCACAGAGTTATCACCTAAACAAAACTGTGACGGGATCCTCACAGATCCACAAACAAGGTACACAGACAAATTTACTGATTCAATTCAATCAGTTTTTTCCTAACCCTAAAGATTGAATTATGCATATTCACATTTCAATCAGTTTTTTCCTAACCCTAAAGATTGAATTATGCATAATCACATTAAAATTACTATATGAAAAAATACACTAAATCTTGATATGACCAATATCCAAGATGACATCTACAGGTTAATAAAGGATTTCAGTGACAAAATCCCCAGACCTATCCTGTGCAGATAAAACTAGATCATTTTCTGTTTTGTTACTATTATACTAAGTTCAAGCTTTTGTGTATGACTTGTTCAAATGAACATACCGCTGCCATGCAAACAATCATAACTAGTAAATACAAAAATAGTACTCCGTAAATATGTACAGACATCAAATAGCAGATGAATACTGATCTCCACAACTGCTTCAAGTACTACTCCACTGCTTCAAATACTACTCCACTGCTTCAAGTACTACTCCACTGCTTCAAATACTACTGCAAGATTGGCAAAGTAAATTAAACATTTATGGATAAGAACTTCTTAATTAATAGTGACGTTTCAGTATAGATCCTCATACTGTTGCTTGACAATATAATACAGTATAATAAAGAAGTTGAAATGCCTATGAAACAATACCACTCCTTTGCTTCAAACACTACCATACTACTACTACTACTACTACTACTACTACTACTACTACTACTACTACTACTACTAGGAAACGAATAAAACACCCCACCCCCTACTATCAACATCATCAAAAGGCTACAAGAAAGTAGAATTCTCAAACACGGGGAGGAACTGTATATCATATATACACGATGGCTAAATGTAAGCAACTTATCGGAATCACTGAATCAATCAGTATAGCTGTAGAGAGCTTTAAGCAATATTCCAGCATTATCACAGTGGTGAACACCTAAGACGGCATGCATTGAAAAGATCAAGATTACCAAATTAACACAACAGCGAGAGAGAGAGAGAGAGGGAGAGAGAGAGAGAGAGAGAGGGGGGGGGGGGGGGGGGAAGGGGATTTATACTGCCAGATTTATACTGCCAACTGCCAACTAGCCAACAAGATGCGGGCAGACTCGAGATGACGGAGGCAGTCTCCGGGCAGACACTCATCAACTACACCACAGAGGCAGTCTCCAGGCAGACACTCATCAACTACACCACAGAGGCAGTCTCCGGGCAGACACTCATCAACTACACCACGGAGGCAGTGTCCGGGCAGACACTCATCAACTACACCACAGAGGCAGTCTCCGGGCAGACACTCATCAACTACACCACGGAGGCAGTCTCCGGGCAGACACTCATCAACTACACCATGGTGGCAGTCTCCGGGCAGACACTCATCAACTACACCATGGAGGCATTCTCCGGGCAGACACTCATCAACTATACCATGGAGGCAGTCTCTGGGCAGACACTCATCAACTACACCACAGAGGCAGTCTCCGGGCAGACACTCTATCTACTAGATCACGGAGGCAGTCTCCAGGCAGACACCCTATCTACTAGATCACGAAGACAGTCACACGTAGGCTAAGATGTTGAAGTTCTGAATGGCAGGACTGGTGGTTAAAAACTGACATACCAAAGTAGGATTGCACAAACATGCCACAGACATCAACACAGCAGGACAGGTCATTTAAAATTTATGACGCTGGCAGTTTGGCATAAGTTACAATGCTATCAGGTACCAGTATGGCAGGACTGTATTGGATAAACTACTGAATGCACGATTTGATCACATTATACTCATGTTCAAAAGAAACGAATATGATGAATGTCTGTTGGTTGTTGTTCAATGACACACTCATGAGGACTGATATGAGAGTGAATTACCCGAGCAGAAGTCTGGGTCAGTTTCACTTCCATTATCGTTCAAATTCATACAATATGCAGGCAGGAAACAACAGAAAAGAGACCCGTCCAAGTGAAAACTGGCCTCGTAATATTTCCCTACTGATCATGCTGATGCGGCCTTGTTTCACAAACAAACGTCCACCTTGACTATTACTAGACACTGTTTACAGGGTCTATAAATCTTCTGTCTACTGTGTATAGCATCAATCAGAAAAAACATGGTCAATAACAGGAATATCGTCATAAGGAGTGACCATAATGCCATACTGAACAACATTTCAGTCACATCACTGGGTTTCATTAATGTGGGAGGAAAGTTGGTGAGCGATGCAGGTCTGAAAAGTATCCATGGGTGTATCCTTATCAGGGCATGGAAACTAATGCTCATAAGATCCTGGCATGCCTTAGGGTCACAACTCTGCACAGTGAATTGCCTTAGGCAACACCCCATCTTGAGGACCAAGCCCGTGATCACATTATATCATAAGTAATGATTGACATTTCATTCAAGTGCAGTGTGTTGAAAGAAAAGTGAAGCTCAATTGCAAGAAATAAACAAGGATATCAAACATAATATCACCAGAGTTTGAATAGATTCAAGCAGAAAGGAAGGATAAATCAGTGTTCGAAGTTAACAGGTCCTTGGGCCTTTTAGGTTTCCCATATTCCCCTATAGTATTTGAATACAGGAACTCCATAGTCGGTGGACATTAGGTTGATGACAAAGACCCATCGACTTAAGTTCGAACACTAATGTGGCAGTGAACAATCACACGAAACCAGAGCTCCTCCTAAACTGCTTACTTGCATAAAATATGCAAAATAAATCACCATTACCAACTGATTTTTAGTTGTTTGCACACAAACACTCATAAAAAAAGTAAAAAAATCCAATATCATAACAACACTCTGCGTAAGTACTTAATGTATCCTTTTCAAATTGTGTATCTAGGTTTGTTCACAGATCTTTATTTACTGATCCAATGCAGGCATCACACATATGGACTCTATGGAGCTTTGTCAAACTCAGTGATACTCTACATAACACACTTGTGTAGTTGTAGCTGTCACCTCACACATTACAGTCTGCGACTTGGGCCACTACCCTGCAGCCCAAGCCTAGTGAGATTCTGTTCTGTCTAGTAAAGTACAGCTAATTAAAGTCCAAATAATGACACTGAAATTTACTGAAAATATTAAGAGCTACTCAAGCCATTGAGTTTAAAAACTAGTACTGATCACTTCAGATTTGATATGTGAATTTCATTATTACATCTCTACATGTATTTTGTGTTGTCTTAAATAAACATGACAGTTTGATACATACTTTTCTTAAAAATAATCATGTTTTGTTTCCATTGCTACACTAAACAAATACACAATGTTATCCAAATGGTGCATTCAGAACAAGGTATTGAGACATTTTGTCTTGTGACTTCTGTGTATCGATTAGGGCTGGGACGATACACCAACTGTGTGATCCGATACGTATCCCGATACTTGTATGTGCTAGTATCTGTAGTACCCATAGTTTTCATAGACAGGATATTCAATACCTGGCACACTGATGATTTACAGTTGGTAGTGTCAAGTATGGTGAAATGATTGAAGATATTTACTTTTTCACTACTAATTATTGTTTGGTGTAACATTTATTAAAGAATACATTTAAGGTAAGAATCGATACTTTTAACTTAGGGTGCAACTGTGATCGATATTTGTACCAGGAAGTGAAATATCGCAATCCACCGATGCATCGGTGTATCGTCCCTCCACTAGTATCGATTCAGCGCTTGTGGGGATCAGATAAGACACCAATTAAAATGGTAGCAAATATGAATCTAGACTAATGGACATTAGCTCATTTGCTTTATGGCAGATGAACACAAGTTGAGATTGTCTGTGACAGTCCAACATTATCAAAAACCTCTGACTCTAATCATGCAGTCCAAATAGAAACTTTGAAACACTCCTCTCACACATGCTAGTTAAGTTAACCTCACAAACAAGAAGGTTTATGAAAGCCCAACCTTAATTAACAACAGACATCACCACAAACCTGCTATGCTAATTTGGGTGCAAAACGGATGGCTAACTATCCATGCTCTTATTCCACACATTGCCAGAACTGAGGAACATCAACATGCAAACACGACTTTCCTTTCCAGTGTTAAACACAAACCAAAGACAACTGAGCTTGCCACTGCGTATTCAACTTGATTCATGTTTCCCACATAGAATGCCAAAGAAGAGGGAGGGACTCTGCCTTTCAGACAGTACAAGTGACTAGACAACTATCAAGAGCACCAAACTTTGAAATCAAACATATACAATGCAATCTTTTTTAAACCAACACATCTACCTGCTTTAAGCTACTGATATATATGTGAATTGGAAAAACAACAACTAAAACTTAAAGAAACCCTAAGATATGAGTGAATGAAAACTTAATGGACCTTAACCACACAATTTTTTGAATTTCACCATAAAATGTAAAGTCATTCTACACAAATTGAAAACAGCATCGACCTAATTTCCACCTTTTACTTGACGAACAAGTGCATTGAAACAACACTTTTTAGAAATGTATTTTAATTCAAGTCAAGTTATTGAGCAAAGACAGACCAGGAAGAGCACCAGTAAGATTAAGTCCAGCTCAATCTCTTATTTGAAGATACTCTTGAAAAACTTTCCAAACTTTTTGCCCTTCTTTCCTTCCTTTGGACTGAGTGGAGCTGATATGACCGACACTCCCTCAGCCCCACTGCTGGTAGAGCCCGGATCATCAGACACCACAAGGTCTCCTGACCCAACTGAGATGGAATCACTGGAGGAGGCTTTTGCATATGATCCAATACTAATAGTTTCTCCCTTGCCTTCAGACTGGTCACTCTCTTTCATGTCCTCTGCTTTGTCAATGACAATCTGTACTTCAGCTTCGTGAGACTTCGATGCAGTTGTGCCATATTCAGTCTTGTTTCCATCTTCACAAACAGTTTGATCTTCGGGATCTTCGGGATCTTCCAGGACTTCATCAATGTCATCAAAACTGTAGGCGTCATTCAGCAAGTCATCTTCAGACAGCTCGCCGTCGCTCCTCATACGACTCTCACTTTTCAGTTCAGAGGAAGATGCTGAAGGCATGGGACTGTCCACATCTTTCATTTCTTCTTCAAGTAACTTCATTGGAACCTCTTCCTTTATGAAGACTTCATCATCAGAATCGCCAGAATATTCAGATCTTTTCAAAACATTATCTTTCTGTCCTTGTTCAGGTTCCTCTCGTTTACTTTCTGCCTGTTCCTTAGATCCCTCCTCACCATGAATTCTCTCCCCACTTCCATCATCAGAGCAATCCTGCTTCTCAACTTTTGTCTCTTCTGTGTTTTCTTCAGAAGACATTGGAACATTGTCCTCAGGCTTTGAAGAATCCTGGTTTATGGAGTAAATACTGTCCTTTCCATCACTTCTATCAGGACTTCCCTCTCCAACTACCAGAGAGGAGACAGTGCCCCCTGCAGGCACATTTTGACTATCAGCTTCATTTGAAGATAACTTTTCTCCTTCTGGTTTAACAGCCTCTCCTGGTTCAGTATCTTGCAGGACCCTCATTTCTGCATCACCTTCTGGATTCTTAGTTTCAACTGTTACATCCTTCTTATCAGTTGAAACCTCACTTTCCTCTAATTCTTGACTTCCCTTTGAGTTTGCAGGATCTTTAGAGCAAGTAGCATCTGCATCAGAGACTTCTTGCTGTTCTATCTCAACTGACAAATTTCTGTCGCTTGTGGATTCTTCCTTTCCATCCATTACTGGAATTTCATTTTTGGACTCTTCAGTTCCTTCACTCTTGACAGCAAAATTGACATCAGTGGTTTCTTCAGAAGGTTCTTTTGCCACATCATTAAACTGATCCAATGCTGTTTTATCTTTGATAACATTTTTATCATCTTCATCACTGCGCTTGAGTTTCTTTACTTCACCGTCATCTTCCCGTGTCTTGTCAGATTGGTTCTCTTCCTGTGTTGCTGGAATCTCATCACCAACTTCCACACCAACAATGACACTTTGATCTTGTGTGCCCACAGTGACATCAGATCCTCTTTCCACAGCATCAGCTGCAGTGCCTGACTGATCAGATGCTACAGGATTCTCTTCCTGTGTTGCTGGAATCTCATCACCAACTTCCACACCAACAATGACACTTTGATCTTGTGTGCCCACAGTGACATCAGATCCTCTTTCCACAGCATCAGTTGCAGTGCCTGACTGATCAGATGCTACAGGATTCTCTTCCTGTGTTGCTGGAATCTCATCACCATCGTCCACCCCAACAATGACACTTTGATCTTGTGTGCCCACAGTGACATCAGATCCTCTTTCCACAGCATCAGTTGCAGTGCCTGACTGATCAGATGCTACAGGATTCTCTTCCTGTGTTGCTGGAATCTCATCACCAACTTCCACACCAACAATGACACTTTGATCTTGTGTGCCCACAGTGACATCAGATCCTCTTTCCACAGCATCAGCTGCAGTGCCTGACTGATCAGATGCTACAGGATTCTCTTCCTGTGTTGCTGGAATCTCATCACCAACTTCCACCCCAACAATGACACTTTGATCTTGTGTGCCCACAGTGACATCAGATCCTCTTTCCCCAGCATTAGTTTCAGTCCCTGACAGATCCGATGCTACAGTATCCACTTGTTCATCTCTGCTCCCCTCTTCCGCCTCCTCTTTCTCAGTTTCTTTGTGACCTGTCAAATCAGACATATCCTCACTGGAACCCTGATCACCCTCTGAAAGCTGCTGTTCTTTGACCTTAGCAGACTCATCATCCTTGGTTGAAGATGCTCCATCTTCACTGTCATCCTTCTTGGTCTCTCCAATACCCTCCAAGTCTGCTGGCTGAACCTTGTCAATGTTTTCCTGCTGTCCATCCAGAGGTTTGCTCCCATCATCTTCCTCTCTCTGAACATGGCCCTGTATCAGCTCTTTGGTGCAGACCCCAGTCTCCACATCCTCAATTGTCTCTTTCTTTTCAGATTCATTAACCTCCCCACTTCTGTCATCTTCATCTAACGAAAAATCCTCCAATTCTTCCTCCTCAGTATCTGGACTTTCACTGTGGCTTTCTTCCTCTTCTTTACTGTCCTCATTTTTTACATCAACATCAGCCTTGATGGCAAATTCTTCAACCTTTTCCTTTGCATCTCCACCCTCAGCACAACAGTCTTCCTTCTCTTGATCTAGCTCTACATCACCCTGTCCTTCAGCCTTTCCTTCATTCTTGTCAACTCCCTCCTCAACTTTACCCAGATCCTTTTCTTCCTTTTTATCTGTTTCAGGGGGTACACAACCATCTGCCTTCCCTTGATCCTCTTCCATAGCTGGTAGGCCTTCATCAATTCCTTTTGCAGCTCCACCCTCAACACTTACCAGATCCTCTTTCTCTCCATCCTTGTTCTGGGTAACACCACTCACTACCTGTTCAAAATCTTCTACCTCTATCAGATCTTTTTCTTCAACATTTTCTTCAGATTCAACATTGTTACTGTTGTCAACTCCCCCTTGAACTCCATGCAGCTCAACTAGACCTTGACCCTCTTCTAAGGCAACACATTTCTCCACCTCAAGATTATCCACTTCTATCTCCTTCTCTGAAGAATCTTCTATCTTGTCTTGAGCGACTCCATCCTCAACATTTCTCAGACTGTCCACATCTCCTTCCATAGATTCTTTATCATCAAGTTCATCCCCACTGTGACAAACTCTATCCTCAAATTCATCATCTTCACCTACCCTTTCAGTATCACAAGCTGATTCTTCAGGCTCAACAGGACCTTCAGCTTCCTTACTGCCACTCTGCTGCAGATCCACCTTCCCTCCTAAGAACTCATAATTGGTCTTGTCCTTATTGACAGCAAAGGGTGAGGGAGTACTGATTGCATCAAAGAACTCATCCCCCTCTTCATCAGTGTCAGGCTCAATAATTTTGACTTGACCAGAGAATACTGCGTGGGGATTTACAACATCATCAGGGGAGAATATGCCAGAATCATCTCTAGGCAGCCCATCAGGTGAACTCTGCAGTTCTAGATCTAGAACAGGAACTGCTGACCTTGTTTCTGAAAGACTCTCCTCAATACTCAAGACACCAACAGCCTTATCACCATCTTTACTATTCTGCTCAGTTCCTTCTTTATCCTGATCATTTGACTCCAACTCATGAGATTCTTCTCCACCTAGTTCAGATTCATCTCCACCCAACTGAGATATTGCCTGAGGTTCAGTCAGACTTTTACTGCCCTCACTACCCAAGACTTCAACACCCTTATCACCATCTTCATTATTCTGCTTAGTCCCTTCTACAACCTCTTCATTTAACTCAGATTCATCTCCACCCAATTCTGTCTCGGGTTCTTTAAGAACACTTGCAACCACTCCACCCTCACCACCATCTATGTCTGTGCCAGAACCATCTGCAACATCACCTAAAGCAGATGGTCCACTCTCAGACCCATTTTCATTACAAAGCCCTTTGTTGGGGACCAACACAGAATCAGAACCATCCTGAAGATCTTGCTCACATTTATCCCCCACCCTTTCCCCATCTGCTTCATTTTTACCCAAAGGTATGTCTGAGCCCTGACCTTCGGGTGTCCCTGATTCTGTGCTGCCTCCCCGCCCGTCACTACATGGTTTAGTTTCATGCACAGGACTACTTCTAAGATGATGCTGATTGGCAGTACCTAATGACCCATCTCCTGCTTCTTTCAATATTTCTATGGATTCTGATGACAGCAGCACGGATCCCCCTGTTGGCACTGGACCATTGGACATGGATGAGTTCTTCTCCAGCTTGTACTCTCCGCTCTCTGTGGACATGATCACAAAACCACTCTCCTGGAAAACAAAACATGAAAGTGTTCATGCAATTACACACAATCCAGTGCTTGAGATGAAGGGGATCCTGGGGTCCTTGAGCTTCCCTACTTTGCAGAGACCCCAAATCTTTCATTTTCACCATTAGGATTACAACAAAGAACAAAAAGTTAATTTTGAAAATTGTACATTTACAAGATTCTGCCACAGTTCTGTAAATAACTCAAAAGTAAAGCACCAGTCTTATATCAAAGATTTTTGAATCTACTAATGTGAAATCAAATACTGGGAACATTTTTTATAGTATTTAATGGTAATTATACAGGCTTTTATGAGCTGAGCTTACCAGAAGGACATTTACTGGACATGTGGCTAAAGTGACAGATTGGTCTACTCTTTTTAACAAGTGGCCTTGAGTATGAGCCTGGTATGTTTCTGATTATGTGTGGATCATTAGATTGTGACAGACTTATGCAACTGAGGGAACTGTTTGATAACATGGATAAATAGCTAGAGTGTGATCGAGCAGAAAAAACTACAATAATTAATTAAATTGATATAGATCCAATGATCCTGGATCCTTTTCTGATAGTTGAAGGCAGACGAGACTGGTGCAGATAGCCAGAGGATAATGATCAGTGCAACTCTGGGTTCAAACCTACGACCATCAAATCTTGGCACAGTTAAATGACACAATTCTGCATGAGGACTTGTGGTGCTTCACCCCTGCTCGCTCATCATGCTCATAAGCAATCAAGAGAAACAATGAAACAATATGAAGTTTGTCTTTGGAGATATACAGAGTGGATATTAATAAACCTGTTTCATAAAGAAGAGAAACAGAATGGTTGTGGACTTACCTCAATCAATTTGTCTTTTAGCACCATATGTTCTCGTAACACCTTAACTTCTGATTCTAGTTCTGTACATGACCTCTTCTTCATTTCTAAGTCCTGCAAAATATAGACGGGGGAAAATATGACATAAAGGCAGAAAACTAGAGTCAAGCACCCAGTGTTGTACACATGTTGATATTATTTGCAATGGCTCAGCACTAAAATAAGATCCTGGTTCCAGGGTTGCTAAATTCCTTCTGTTACACCACCATGGCTCAGCACTAACATAAGTTCCTGGTTCCAGGGTTGCTAAATTCCTTCTATTACACCACCATGGCTCAGCACTAAAATAAGATCCTGGTTCCAGGGTTGCTAGATTCCTTCTGTTACACCACCATGGCTCAGCACTAAAATAAGATCCTAAATATGTGTTACATGAGCCAGATATAAATTTACTTTCAACATAATAACTTAGACAAACAGTGAGTGAGTGAGTTGGGTTTAACGCTGCTTTTAACAGTATTCCATAGCACGGCGTGTCAGCTTAATTTCGGAGGAAAGCCTGAAGTGAAGCAGGTCTCAGACGTTTACCACTTTGGTGAAGACATGGACAACACATGGAAAACAAACATGCATAGTGGCCAGTATGATTCACAGTATATTCTTTGGTATCCAGAAACTGTCAGTACAGTAAACTACGTTTATAACGAACACGCTTATAATGAACTGACCGATATAATGAACCTATTTATAAGTCCCTACCATTTGTTGTATATATGCTGTATGTATGCTTATAACAAACCATTAATGAAAATTAGTGGTCCCCTCGAGTTCGTCATACCCGTAGTTTACTGTATTGTCAACTTCATGGAAAGAAAGGCACACTAGCTGATGGAGAAAACACATACATCAAGTTCAACGATGGATCAAAAGTATGTTTGTGTTGGCACACGTAAATTGCAAAGCGCACATCGCTATGAGTGCCCTATCTAAAATGGTGGTAGTCATGAATAGTTCTCAGCATCACTTACTCGACACCGGTCCTTGTGTTCTCGCTGCAGTTCTATGTATGACTCCTCAATCTCCTCGATCTGGTCTTTGAGAAGCTCTAATTGATATATCAGTGTCTGTTTCTCATTGTCCAGTGTGGCACTTGTCATCATCGCCTGGCGATATTTCTCTTCGAGCTCCCGCAACTCTGCCTGCAAACACACAACGTTGATTTCTAGTTTTATATTAGTCAACATTAATCTTGCCAAATCGTAGATGCCTGTAAATAATTAAGTCAGGACCAGACAAACTAGTGGCTAAAACTTATTAGCAATATCCAGTAGGGGTAAAGCGACATGCTTTGTTTGTTTGTTGTTTAACGCCGCGCTCAGAATATTCCAGCTATATGACGGCGGTCTGTAAATAATCGAGTCTGGACCAGACAATCCAGTGATTGACATCATGAGCATTGATCATCGCAATTGGGATACGATAACATGCATCAACCAAGTCAGTGACAAGCATAGTCACCTCTTATGACAAGCATGGGTTGCTGAAGATCTATTCTAACCTGGATCTTCACAAAAGTGACGTGCAATCAGTGAAGTCACCTGATCAGTGACTACCATTTCAGTTCGGTCGCCTCTATGTTGGGTAGAATCACTGTTGAAGCCTAAGAGTATCCTTTGATGTCAGAGTTACAATTTCAAAACGTGTGTTCCATGTGTTATCTCTAGTTTACAATGTGCTTTAAGCTAATATCAAAACGCTCTGAAATCAGATAGCAAATTTTTTGAGTGATTGAGCGAGAATGGTTTTACACCGCTTTTAGCAATATCCATGCAAGGGGCACCAGAAATGAGTTTCACACACTGTCCATGTAGGAAATCAAACCCGGGCCTCTGCCATGATGAGCCAACGCCCCACCCACGAGGCTACCCCGCCCCACATTTCTCACCTTGAGATCCCGGTCCCGCTCTCTGTTGGACTCCACACTGTCATTTGAGTCATTACTGTTGCGTCGCGAACCGGACAGTCGACTCTGCAAAACAAAACACCCATGTTCACAAACAGTTTAATACCAAATACTCAGTGTACCAGAGCAAGTGGGGTTTAACGTCGCGTGCAAGATTATTGCACTTATATAGCGATGTGCATGTACGTGTGTGTGTTTGTGTGGCTGCTTGTACTAGTCTGGACTGATGCCGATTTATAGTGCTAGCTCACCATGCTCACTGAGATACCATGCCGCAGTTTAACATGAATATCCCACTCAGACACAGTATACTGACTCCGGGCCGACCAGTCCTTGTTTTAGCCTCTTAATGCCGAGCGCCAAGCAGGGTAACAACAAGTATCATCTTTTCACGTCTTTTGGTATGATGCGGCAAGGGATCGAACCCCGGACCTTCCACTCTCCGGGTGGACACTCTACCACTAGACCACGGAGGCGGTCTGTACGGGGGAACAAGTGAGGACGGTCCCATTCAACATAGTCTTTTTCAAAACATATAGGGCCACACACTGAGAGATCATGTATAATACTCAAAACCCAATATAGGTTATTGCCGCAGAATTGCTGACAACATGTAATATCAGCAATGTATAGACTCATCTGCATTGCTTCTCAGATGTAACGTTATGAATCGTAGCATCAAAGTCCAATATCATATATTCAACTCATCAGCATGTTAGTGATCACTGTCGTCGGGATGTCTCATCAAGGTACAGGTTCTAAAATTTGAGTTTGTTTCTGTCATTGAAATTGACTTCCCATGTTTCATACATTACAAAGCTTTTACAGTATTTGTTTCTGAGTTACAACCATGTGGAGTATTGAAGACAGTTTTGCTAACATTTTCGATTTTGAAGTGTCACTGTTAGGTGACCCCATGCGAAGAATTTTGTGTACTGCTCATTTCACTTGTCAACAATTCTGCATAAAAAACCTGTGTATCAGGGTCATTCTAAGAGAAAACATCGTTGTCAGAATGGGCTGTTTTGATGGACACTCACTACATCACAGAGGTGGTCTCCAGGCAGACACTCTGTCCACTACATCACTGAGGTGGTCTCCAGGCAGACACTCTGTCCACTACATCACAGAGGTGGTCTCCAGGCAGACACTCTGTCCACTACATCACTGAGGTGGTCTCCAGGCAGACACTCTGTCCACTACATCACAGAGGTGGTCTCCAGGCAGACACTCTGTCCACTACATTACAGGGGTGGTCTCCAGGCAGACACTCTGTCCACTACATCACTGAGGTGGTTGGTCTCCAGGCAGACACTCTGTCCACTACATCACGGAGGTGGTCTCCAGGCAGACACTCTGTCCACTACATCACTGAGGTGGTCGGTCTCAAGGCAGACACTCTGTCCACTACATCACGGAGGTGGTCTCCAGGCAGACACTCTGTCCACTACATCACGGAGGGGTCTCCAGGCAGACACTCTGTCCACTACAACACAGGGGTGGTCTCCAGGCAGACTCTCTGTCCACTACATCGCAGAGGTGGTCTCCAGGCAACCACTCTGTCCACTACATCACGGAGGGGTCTCCAGGCAGACACTTTGTCCACTACATCACAGGGGTGGTCTCCAGGCAGACACTCTGTCCACTACATCACTGAGGTGGTCTCCAGGCAGACACTCTGTCCACTACATCACAGAGGTGGTCTCCAGGCAGACACTCTGTCCACTACATCACAGAGGTGGTCTCCAGGCAGACACTCTGTCCACTACATCACAGAGGGGTCTCTAGGCAGACTCTCTGTCATCTACATCATAGAGGTGGTCTCCGGGAAGACACTCTGTCCACTACATCACAGAGGGGTCTCCAGGCAGACTCTCTGTCCACTACATCACAGAGGTGGTCTCCAGGCAGACACTCTGTCCACTACACCACGGAGGATATCTCCAGGCAGACCCTCTATCCACTACACAAACAGAGGTGGTCTCTGTGCAGACGCTCTATCAACTAGATCACGGAGGCAGTCTCCAGACAGACACTCTATCCACTACACCACGGAGGCGGTCTCTGGGCAGACACTCTATCCACTACACCACAGAGGATGTCTCCAGGCAGACCCTCTATCAACAACACCACAGAGGCGGTCTCCGGGCAAACTCTCTATCCACGACACCAGGGAGGACACTGTCAAGTAGATCATGGAGGCAGTCTCCGGGCAGACGCTCTATCAACAAGATCAGGGAGATGGTCTCTTGGCAGACGCTCTATCAACAACACCACAGAGGCGGTCTCCGGGCAGACTCTCTATCCACGACACCACGGAGGACACTCTGTCAAGTAGATCATGGAGGCAGTCTCAGGGCAGACGCTCTATCAACAAGATCAGGGAGATGGTCTCTTGGCAGACACTCTATTCACTACACCACGGAGGATATCCCTTGGCAGACACTCTATCCTCTACATCACGGCGGATATCCCTTGGCAGACACTCTATCCTCTACACCACGGCGGATATCCCTTGGCAGACACTCTATTCACTACACCACGGCGGATATCCCTTGGCAGACACTCTATTCACTACACCACGGCGGATATCCCTTGGCAGACACTCTATCCTCTACATCACGGCGGATATCCCTTGGCAGACACTCTATCCTCTACACCACGGCGGATATCCCTTGGCAGACACTCTATCCTCTACACCACGGCGGATATCCCTTGGCAGACACTCTATCCTCTACACCACGGCGGATATCCCTTGGCAGACACTCTATTCACTACACCACGGAGGATGTCTCTGGGCAGACACTCTATCCACTACACTGCATGATGATGACTCAAGTGAAGATATATTGATCAGGTTGATTTTTTTTGCATTAATAATTAGTATAATAGCTAGTATCAACTCTAAACATTTTACATTACATCATTCATTTAACTCTTTTCGAGAATTATCAGCTCAGAATTCAATAATCACAATGTTACCAGCTGTTACTGAACTCACCACAAAGGGAACTTGATTTGAATTCAATTTATGATTTTTTATAGACAGGAAACTATCACTGAAGAATGAAATTATCAATTATTGAGAATAAGCAATGAATGACAGATATTGATTTAGAAAAATGTGAATACATCAATAAATACAGTGTTATCATGGGAATCAGGTAATGGACAACATCCTGATCTGTACTAGGTCATTTTGAAAACACATTATTATAGGGCAGTACGATCCGATACGATCACGATATCTTGCTTACGATCTGATACGTATCACGATACTTGCATGTGCTCGTATCTGTGGTGCGTAAGCCATCTTTTTCATAGACAGGATGACAAAATGTCTGGCACACTAATGATTTACAGTTAGCAGTGTCAGGTATGGTGCAATGGATGAAATTATTTACATTTTTACTGATCTTTTTCACTATTACTTAGCATTTTGTGTAACTTTTATTAAAGAATAAATTTAAGGTAAGAATCGATACATTTTACTTAGTGTGAGATTGTGATCGATACTTGTATCGAGAAGTGAAAAATATCATGATCCACCGATGCTTCAGTGTATCGTCCCACTACTACATTATCACCACGACCTAAGCACTGCTAAGGGCTGATTCAGTACCCAATATTCTAATTGAACAGAAATTACCACCGCTGCCCAAGATTGATGGATCCGACTAACTCATCTGCACAATCAGCTTCTAACTGCCACAACCACGGCCAGAAACATTCCCAACTGTAGGCAGATAGATCCCCAGACGGCCATTAACTTCTTGAGAAATTACGGTTTACGTCAAGGCAGACCTACAATTTCATTGTGACTGAACATCATTGCCAGGCTTGTCAACAACGGTGCAGACAGTATCTCAGACGTCCTCTGTATTAGTGGAGACATGTGACGTTCACTGACGAATTTTGTTTCAACCTTTCATCAGATGGCTATCAACGTGTCTATCGATGTAAAAATGAACGCTATGCGGATGCACGTCTTGTGGACAGGGGTCGCTATGGCGGAGCCTTTGTCATTGTCTGGGGAGGCATCACTGCATGCAACAGAACATCTTTAATTTGATTGATGGTAAGTTGAACGCAATAAGAAATCTTAAGAAATGCTGTTCTTCCTTTCATCCAACGTCATGGTCACAGCATCATCATACAGCAGGACAATGCATGTCCCCACACAGCACGTATTATTCAGCAGTTCCTCTAACAAACTCATCAGTCCTTTCACCGTTTGAACAAATCTGGGATGAAATGGATTGTTGACTTCGACACGAACCAAATTCACCTGCAACGCTTCAGGATCTTCATCTGGGATGACATCCCACAAGTTTTTCAAGCCAGACTAGTATCATCCATGAGGTGTCAATGCACAGCTATTGTTGATGCAGCCAATGGCAATATGTGATATAAAGCCTGTGACTTTTGGGTTTGAACCCCTCAGTAGGGGTCATCAACGTGACTGATTTTGTGATCAAACACAACATTTGGGGTCAATAATCTGGACCAGAAGACTTAGTCTCCAGACAGGTGAATTTTACAGTTTACTTGTTCAGGGACAGGTTCACAATGTTAAAATTTCCACACCCCTATGTGATCCCTAGATTCAAAACCCACAGGAGTCCTGAAGGATCCCAGGAGCTCTCTATATGTCCAAGACTGAATATGAAATTGATATTTTGTGTTTTCTTGTATAGCATTAGAAACAGAGTGAACAAGTAGTTCTTCTGCTGCATGTTTTCTTGACAAAATCATCCAACACCTACCTTTCCATGGTCGGTGATAAGTTCATGGACTCGGTCATGTTTCTCGTCAGCCTGCAACAGAAGAACAATCATTTAGACCTACAGGAGAATTTACAATGTTTAGCGTTTTCCTCGCAGATGTTTCTCCATACTGAATTGTATGTGCAGGATCATATCCCCTCAACAGTGTTATAAGGTTAAAGCTAGTTTTCAGGGCAGAGCCATCTTCCCGATGCAAGGGAGTTAACTGACTATAAAAGTCCAGTGTCCATCCTTGCAGAACCAGGCTGGAATTCTATGCCTAGATCGCAGCGCCACCAGTGACTACTACGAGTTACGTCCCTTCTATGTCCCTCCTATTGACCCATAAAATTCCACCTCTCACATCACTTGCATTTCCTTCACACAAAATAGAGCGCCCAGTCAAAACGATCTGATCGATAATCATGATATTTATTGTAATAAAACGGGTCATACCTTGCAAATGCATCTAACCAGTTAAGCACCCTGATTAAAGTATCGATCACAATCACTCACGAAGTTAAAAGTATTGATTCTTAATCTTACCTTAAATGTAATCTTTCATAAATGTTACACCAAACACTAATTAATTGTGAAAATGAGAAGTGAAAATGTACATATTTTCATCCATTGCACCATACTCAACACTAACAACAGTAAATTGTTACTGCGCCAGGTATTTTGCCATCCTGTCTATGAAAAAGATGGCTTTCGCACCACAGATAAGAGCATGTGCAAGTATTGTGACACGTATTGGATTGAGAGCAAGGTATTGTTATATATATCGAATCGCACAGTATCGTCCCAGCCCTACATATCAATAAATCAACACATGTTGAGGGGGTGAGTGAGTAAGTTGTGTTTTAACAGTATTCCAGTTATATCACGGTGTGTCGGGTTAATGTAGGCGGAAAGACCGAAGTGATGCAGGTCTTCTACGTTTACCACTTCAGTGAAACCCCCGAGCATGGGTAGGGTGCTCACAAACCTAGAAACATAATGGGGTTCGAACCCACAATCATAGGTTTCTAGCATGCCCAAGGGACGAAAGTCTGCACAGCGAATAGCAGCGCATTGGACGACTTGGCCACCTGGGCCCCCTCAATACATGTTTAATGTTGATGCTGTATCTGTACATGTTTATGAACATAATACGTATAATTGAATGCTCAAGAAATGTTACATAGAATAATTAATCTTCCGCTAACCACCACATCAATAATGCGGTATTTTTAGTGAATATCTCAATACTAAAATGTCCAATCAATGACACCCCTAGTCATCAGCAATGGATTATGTCACAAAAGTTGCATGACATCACTTGACATTGGCTTTACACGCCAACATCAGAAGGAAGCTATTGAAGCTATTAGAAAAGCAGTCTCCAGAGTCTGTCGGACATTGATATTTATTATTAGGTATAATTAGGGGATAAAAATATACATGACACAGCAGAAGTATCTAACCTGCAGTGAGACTATCCTCGCCATTCAAGCCTACTTTCCTGTGCTAAAATATGACAGGACTTTTGCACATATCAAAAATCAGATAACATTTCACAAAATCAACACCCGGGTTCTGAAAACGTGGTAGCTGCTATGACCATGATGGCCACAGACATTGCCTGTCGCATTTGTAATGAACTTACTCGAAAATCTAAGTGAAGACAAGTATTTTGAAGCAGTTCAAATCAACTTGGTATTCATTCAACTCGACAAATATATATTTGAGTGCTTTTTATATATTTGAGTGTTTTTAACTTGAACGACTGAATGATTATCGCAGTGACCGAGATGCTCTTTTTAGACGATCCCTGCTGAGCGTTTAATGTTACCCCAAGGTGCAGTGTTACTTGATACTGTGTGGTCTGTATGCCCCTGTTATTGTAAAAGTGAAAAGCGACAGTAATAAGTAACTTTAGTGTGGTAATCTGTCATATTGTTTGTCCGGTGAAAACTTGATTCTTTTTATTATCTAATCCACCAGGTTGTCTGCTGTGGTAGCCATCTTTGTGAAGCCATTTGAAACAATAACAGCAATCTGATTGGATATCACTTTCAAGGCACACAAGTTGTGTACTAAACGCGGTGGTGCTACGACCGAGCTAAAAAAAGGAGGCTCTAGTTTGCAACAATGAAAATGAGAGTTTAATATAGGCTAGTCACCACGCTTGCCTTGGGAAGATGAGCTACTTCATAAGCCAAAAAACAATTGAAGCAATGACAATGCACATCACTATGTGATGTAAAAGATTATCACAGGCGGCTACAGAAAAGTGCCAAATCACAAACTTTCTGTTGAACCTAAAACCCACAAATACACTCTCTTGTTACCTGATGTCTAGTGCCCAAAGTTACTGTTACACATACTTTGAACATTGTAGTAAACGCAGTACTTTTCTATAATCTGATTAACTTCAAATCAGCTGTTTCAATCAGAGGTTGTTATTATGATTTGATACCTCTGACTGACCAATCAGAATCAAGTAATTTCCAAATTCACGGTTTAATGCAGAATAACATCACAGGGAACACAAGTAAAGAGGATAGTGTTGATGATGTTTTGATGTTATAGACCTAGTGCTTCAATCTCCATATATTTATGTAAGACATGAACAGCTTCAGATATGCTGCTGATTTGAGTAAACTTCACTAAACAAATCACCATTACCCAGTTAATTTTGACTTTCTTTAACATTTCAAAAAACCCAATCATAACAACACTGCATAATAATTACCTCATCATGATCATGCATCCTTTATTTACCATGTCTACACATCTTAACTTACTGATCGAATGCAGGAATGGTGCCCACATGAACTTTACTGCAGTGAAGAACTCATAAAAAAGGTGGAATGTCGAGTTGATCATGTTTATTGTTATTTAGACACGTATCGCTGTTGTGTGTTTAGTGACATGTTACACTGGGGACAGCACATGAACAGACGCAAACTAGAAGACACCTGAAACAGCATTTTCAGGAGAAATATTCAAAAAATATATATAATCATTGGTGTAAAAATACCCAATAGACTAGTAACAAGGGAGCAAAAAATATATTGAGCACCTAAAGAAAACTATTTATACCCAAACACAATGGTCAATGACAAGTAAATACTCAATGACACAGAAAGGGTCCCGTTCCACAAAGCGAACGTAGCGCTAAGACGATCGTAACTCCCATACTTTAACATAGACTTACGGCAGTCTTAGGGCTAAGATCGCTCTGTGGAATGGGGCCCTGGAGCCCACGACTGTCTTCAAACGGGCTAAAGCTCCTATCCATCAAACAGCAATGGGAACTTCCACGATCTCCTTCACTGAATAATATTGTTAGCTATTTGGTATTTGTCATCATGTCACATTTGAGCTCGTCAAACCCTGACTGATTACTGAACTTGTCTTGTGTTTACTAATTCCAACTTTGATTCATATTTGTTAGCATTATCATCTAGAAGTAAGTACCAGAACAAATTAAGCCATTGTCACGTGCCCTCATACCGTGTTTATATACCACTAAAAAATGCTAAAAGGGTCGCCAGATTCTTTCAAATTACCATAGTTAATCTGTCATGGCATGACAGATTCACAATAGTAATATGAAAGAATGAGGTTGCCCTGAACGTTATTAGTCATATATCATGTATACAGACTGCTGGTTATCCAATTTGATGCATCTCTTATCTTTGTTTATGGGGGCAGGACGCTCTTATAAGGGGAGGAAAAATTGGGTTTAACGTCACATCCATATAGTGTTATATAGCAACGTGTATGCGGGGCTGCAGATAATCGTCCTGACTGACGCTGATTTTACAGTGCTGGTCCATTGAGCTACCATACCGCAGTTTAACATGAATACCCCACTCAGACACAGTATACTGACTCCGAGCCGACCAGTCCTTGTTTTAGCCCCAGGGAGGGAAACAAGTACCATCTTTTTTTTGTGTGACATGGCTGGGGATCGAACCCCAGACCTTCTGCTCTCCATGCTGACGCTCTTCCACTAAACCACTCAGCAATATTCCAACTATATGACGGCGGTCTGTAAATAATCGAGCCTGGACCAGACAATCCAGTGACACAATTGGGATCGATGACATACATCAACCAAGTCAGCGAGCCTGACCACCTGATCCCGTTAGTCGCCTCTTACGACAAGCATAGTCACCTTTTACGGGAAGTATGGGTTGCTGAAGACCTATTCTATCCCAGATCTTCATCATGTTCATGGGTCAGTAACATGATGAACACTAAACATAATGAACACTAAACACTTTGATGTGATGTCAGATGAGCCAAACATTACGTAAAGTTGTAATTGTCTTCTCACATTGAGGATGGGCACTGAAGTCTGAAGCGTATATTACAATCTATTGTGATACACAAGTACTGTGATACATATGTTGTATAATTCTTAATTTAGAATTCAGGAGCATCAATTCAGGGAAATTCTCATCTGAATTGGATCTATCAATAAAACAATATTTATTTCATCTGTTTAAGGACTAAGTGCTTCCACACTTCAGTCTTACCTGTTTTACTTGTAACATTTTTCCATGTGGAAAGTGTGGCCATCGCCATGTTTGGGACGGGATGTTTACGGGAAGGGATGTTTGTTTTGAGACAATAATGGTTGATCAAAATGCATGAAATTATGAGAACGCACCTGAGTGAGGTAACTAAAAAACTAAACATGATCTTCACAAGACACAAATTACTTCGGATTTTGAATCATGTGGACATTCAAAGGTATTTGACAAGATAACCAAACACATCACTGAAATTGATACTTGAAATCCCCTGACATACCAAACCATTAAAATATTATGATAGGTTCCCTTAAACATGTTTAAAGAAATAAACATGGCTGAATAGTATACCAACAATACCACACACCCTTACTTCACACCTACTGCAAACATTCAGCTGTTCACCATGCATACTAGACTAACACTTAGTCAATGAAAACATATCTTTAAAATTATTAAAATTTTTTCGAAAGAACCTTTCCTCTTCTGCTGTTTCATGTGTGGAATCAAGCAAACTAGACTTGGTTAGTTTGATCTAGACTTGCCTAGGCTTTTAGTTAAAAAAAACCCCTAAAATATATATATTCCACAGTCATGGTGCAGGACTACAAACATACCTCTTTCTGCTGTTTCTCAATTTCCTTCAGTCTTATTTCCCGGGCCTCTGCTCTGGCTGCACGTTTTGCCTGCAATCTGGTCTCAGCCTGTGGATAGGGAAGAATGCAATATCCTTGATCATGATAAGATAACAATCATATGTGACAATCACAAAGGACGAGGAAGGAAAAGTCATGGAAACTTTTGTGAACGGGTATGATAATTATCAGATATGTCCAAATGCTTCAAACTTCTTCTTTCTTACACTTGCAAGTTTTAGATTTTCGGCACCTTCAAGAATGCCAAAGAGACAAAAAAAAAGAACGATATTCCAAATTTCTGACAAAATATATCTATGTAACCAGTCTGTGACCCAAGATGAACATTTTACCATTATATATTTGTACTGCCTTAAGTTTATCTACATGTTCTAAGAAAATCAGCTTGGGTCAAAGATTTGCTCATGACAATCATGTTCAAAAAAGAAAAAAATACATTTAGTGTTTGCATTGACACTTTTTAAAAGATCATACACATATTTGTCACAGAACAAACATATATTAAAAAGAATGACTTTTCATGATTACAAGTTCCATTAAACATGTCAAAAGTTTGTAATAACACTTCTTCCAATTAGTCATGTGTTAACATCTTAATATGTACATTCTGTTATTGTCATCGTAATATTCATCAACAGATATTTATTGGTTACTCACTGTAGAGTGGGGAGCCAAATAGTATCAAAGAATATTTGTTTAGAATATTGATTAAACCACCTTTCTACCCCAGGGTTACAGATCGTTTTATTTTCTAGGACAGTAAAATATGCTCATAACGAACACGCTTGTAATGAACTGACGGATATAAAAGACTGTTATATTGGTTCAAGCTGTATGTGTGTTGTATATATATATACTCATAACTATGGTTATAATGAACTAAAATTAGTGGTCCCTTTGAGTTTGTTATAACCGTGGTTTAATGTAAATTGACTTATTGTCATCCAAAATGTCCTAAAGATATTTTGCAAACTGGGTTAGGATATAACTGAATGTTGTATTCAATGCTCTACAACAGCTAACTGGTTCTTTCAAGTTGGTGCAGGGTGATTCACCGATACATCAGGTTTTGATATGACAGTCACATTGCTCGTCACTGTATCGATTCATTACATGTTTATATTGTGGTTGGTGGTTTTTTTGTTTAACGCCGCACTCAGCAATAGCTGTAGTATTTGTCTGCTTGTCATCAATGCTTTCAAAGTACCTCCCCTAAACATTGCTTGCTAAACAATGCTAAATTGGTGTAGGGACCAAATGCTTTTTGTTACATGAAATTAGCTTTTATCATCCTTTCTGCATGTTCTGTATCACTGATACATACTGTATCATGTAGGGTGACTTTGTGTGCTGTGTAAGTCCGAATTTGAGTGTCACTACTTTGTTTGTACATTATGAACTGGGGCTGGCAAAAAGATTGATAATCAAAATTATTGTCGACTGGAAAAACCATTAACGATTATCGATATGAAATTGTTGTCATCGATAATAACTTACATGGAATATTGTGACGAAATAAAGTTTAGATTTACTGAAAGACACTTGTTATTGTAAATATCGTCAATTGTCGAGGACGGAAAGCAACTGTTTTGTTATATTTGTTAATCTGTAAATGTCCACAAAACAATGTATGTATAAATGTGTCACTGCTCACCAGTGTTGTGAAATACATTGTTTTCTTTCGGGACCTTCTTGCATACTTGCTTAAAGTTATCTCTTCGATATTTAGTAAACAATTATTGATCTCTATAATCTATATCGATGGCCAGCCCTATTATGTATGAACTGTACATGATGAATGTAGGTTTTGAAATTAGACGAGGTTATTGTCTGTTGTTTGTCAGCTGAGAATTTTACTCAGAAGACTGGTGTAGTTCAAAGTGACTGACCATTCAATCAACTGCTTGGACTTTCTTGGTAGCTTAGAATCTTAGAGCAACATTTTGAGACTATTGTTTGTTATAATGAAAAAGCTGACATAAAAGATTAGGTTATGGCATTTGCACTGCCAGAAAAACAAAGTCTTTACACATTCAGACATTTAGGATTAGAGTAAACATGTCTGTGTGATAGGGATCAGTTAATCTGTATACTAATCACACTATTTAGGCTATAGACCTACTTCATTACAACTTTTACAAGGTAAGATCCGCGACGGTAATGACTCGCTGAATTACAGAATTACGTTAAATAACTAGTGTTTGGATGTAGGACTCGGGGCGTTATGCATAAAAAATAAGCAACAGGGATTAAACGTTTGATTTGTGGTACTACCTCGTACTTACCTCTTTCGATATCTGATTGAGAGCTTGGTCCTCCGCCGAATATTGGCGTATGTTGCTTCGTCGCCTCCTGTCGGCTCGGTCACTCATTATGACACGGGCAGGAGAGTATCACATGGAATAAGCCGTATCACTTGTCTAGTCAAACAACACCTAAAACAAGGTGCGATCGATTATTTTCACGTTTGCAAATATGAAAGAAAGCTGTCTGTGTGTCAAGAAAGGCACAGTCAACCTCTGCGTTTCCTGTCCAAGCTGTCAAAGCCACCTCGAAATTACGACCAGTTCGTCTTTAAAACAGGCCTCGCTGGTAACACAAATTGTGTCGTGTCCGTTGTGTATGTATTAAAGTATGAAATAAATTTACATCAAGTCAAGAGATACAGCGGCAAGTTTTGATTTTGTAAGACAAATATAATCCATGTCACCTGTGGTACTGATGGCCGCCATGTTGCCTTATCACTGACACCCGGATGTCATCGATGGAGAATTTGCGCATGCGTACAAGAAAAGGTCAAAGCGACATGCATGAATCAGCCCGACTTTTTAAACACGTGTTTGAAATGTGCTACCGTTCAAATCTACATGTGCTTAAATGTGTGTGACGGTCTGTTTCCTATGGATCCGTATCAGACTGGGTTCACGAAATCCTACGAAATTAACTTTTGCAACAACTTTTGCAAGTTCTATTTATGTGTGTAACCTCGCACGTCTAATGCACTACTTAGCGTTTTATCTGAATACACTGTTCTGTAAATAAAGACACAATGGGGGTTTCTAAGTGCACTATATAAGTGGTTGTCTAAGACTCTACGGTGCATGAAAAAGCGACGCAACTGGAGCAATTAACCCGTCATAGTTCAGGTTATTAGCACAACAATACCGTCTGCGGTTTTATTACTTTTTCATACGCCTGTAATATACGAGGGTGGGGTGAAATGGGGTTTAACGTCGCGTTCAAGATAATTGCACTTGTAAAGCGACATGCATGCACGTGTGTGTGTGGCTTTGTGGTCTAGTCCGGACTAATGCCGGTTTTATGGCTAGCCCACTGAGATACCATGCCTCAGTTTACCGTGGATATCCCGCTCAGACACAGCATGCTCCCGGCCGACCAGACCTTTAAAATTAATATTGCCATCTTGATATATAGTGGATAATTTAAAGCGACGCATGCGACTATTTATATATACTCGCATGCGTCGCTTTTTCATAAGAATAGTTATTAATTATCCAATGTCAAATTATGGACGGTAAATAGATGCAACTTTAAAAGTTTTGTAGATACACACTATATATCGGCTACATAAGCCTTTTATGCAGTAAATACCTTTTCTTTGAACACTAATACGTGTTTTTTCGTCTTTGGGAGCGGCGGAACTAGACCTCCCATATGATTCACGGGAGGCGGGGCAAACGAGCTTCACAGGAAATGCTTATATTTAGAGTACTCGAACACATTGCTGCTTCGTCGAGAATACAATAAACAAGGCACGTTATTATACTATTTGTTTCTTCGTGTAAATGTTTATTATTGCAGACGTTGACTACTGTTCTCCCGTTCCACCACCAAGTTGCTATTTTGAAGTTCGAGTTTGAGTTTACTCGATTCTTCCACTGAAGTGAGTTGTTGAGTGAGTGAGTATGGTTTTACGCCCCTTTTAGCAATATTCCAGCAATATCACGGCGGGGGACACCAGAAATGGGCTTCACACATTGTACCCATGTCGGGAATCGAACCCGGGTCTTCGGCGTTACGATCGAACGCTTTAACCACTAGGCTACCCGACCGCCCCGATGTGAGTTGGTGAAATAAGGGTTTATAACGTCGCGTCCAAGATTATTGCACTTATATAGCGACGTGCATGCACGTGTGTGTGTAGCTGCGGGGGCATGGGTGGCCCAGTCGTCTAAGGCGCCGACATTCGTTGTGCAGAGTTGCGTCCCTTGGGCACACCAGAAACCTATGTGGGGTCGAATCCCGATTATGTTTCTCGGTTTGTCAGCACCATACCCGTGCTCGTGGGTTTCACCGAAGTGGTAAACGTCTGAGACCTGCATCACTTCGAGCTTTCCTCCCACATTAAGCTGACACGCCGTGATATAACTGGAATACTGTTAAAAGTGGCGGTAAACCCAACTCACTCACTCATCTAGCTGCCTTAGTGTCATATCGACACTCGTCCACGTAATCTCGTCTCGTTCCAATCAAATATCACTGTGCTTAATTAAACAGGTTGATTTAAAGACTGCTAAGTGTCCTTAAATTTGATGGTAATTTAATGTGTTCACATTTGATACCGACTATTTCCAAGACCATAACGATGTCTTATTTGGCACACCCGACACACATTCCTTGTATAGGAATGCAGATTGACTCACCCGTGAAGGGATTCCCCCGTCTCATAGCAACACCTGTATTAACATTGTGTAATAACAACATGTGCGGACGGGTCTATTTTTGGCATCAGCTGGTTATTGGAAACGAGGCGCCGGGATCACCATACAGCTGTACACAGCAATAGACACTCAGAGCTCCAGATAACCTTTTCACCAATTGGGTTTTTACTCCAGGGTTTCTATTTTAATTGGGTTATTACATTTTTTATTTGGTAACCAATATTTTTTCACTCATTTATTCATAATTCTATTGGGTTTTCCCACCAAAGAGTGAACATTTTAAGATTTAAGACAAACGAAGTTATTATAATGTTTTAGATGTATATAACCATGATATCTGTTCTAAATATATTGGCTTGACTCGGAAAGTAAATTAGCTCGTAAAAAGCTTCATTGGGTATTTACGCATGCTGTTTTTATACATTTGAGTTTTTCATTTAAATGCATGCGTTTCTGTACGCAAGTAGATTGAAAATAATTGGGTTTTGAATATTAATTTTTGTGGGGTATTTTACGCAAATACGGTGCTATTTTTTCAGAACGCGTGCCTGTCAAGCTTCACTGACATGTCTTACTGGAGTGAAGTCAAGAGATATTGCACGCAGTTGCCTGTGATGTAGGCCCTATGACGCTTTCGCCCGTTAGACACTTTTTGTAATACACTCGTAATAAAAGCGGTATCTAACAGGGACTTGTTTGATAATCTGTATATGTTTCATTGAAAACACATACAATTTGAAATATTCACCACGACGTACATCCAGTATACATATACTTTCTCACTGTTCCCAACCTCCGTGAAGATATCAGGGTAAAAAGGTTGCCCAGCACTCTATGGTACCCCCTTGAGGTCACCGTGACCTGGCAGATTAACTGGGTGTTCATACTATCATCCACTAGTGAGCACATAACTATACAGATTATGTTTTTTAAGGCTGTCGGGATTTAGTTTCTATATTGCGGCATAAAATAACATTCATAAATTGTGAGGTGAGGTGGAATGGGGGTTAACTCGGGTTCAGGGTTATTGCATTTATATATAGTTTGTTTGTTAGTGTGTTGTTTAACGCCGCACAATATTCCAGCTATATGACAACGGTCTGTAAATAATCGAGTGTGGACCAGAAAATCCAGTGATTGACATCACGAGCATCGATCCACGCAGTTGGGATCGATGACGTGCATCAACCCAGTCAGGAGCCTGACCACCCGATCCCGTTACTCGCCTCTTACGACAAGCATAGTCGCGACCAACGGGATCGAGTATTTATATATAGCGACTTGCATGTGTGTGTGGTGTGTGTGTGTGTGTGTGTGTGTGTGTGTGTCTGCTTGTATCTGTCAGGACTAATGCCGATTGTATAGCCCCTGAGATACCATGCCGCAGTTGAGTGAGTGAGTGAGTGAGTGAGGTTTTACGCCGCTTTTAGCAATATTCCAGCAATATCACGGCGGGGGACACCAGAAATGGGCTTCACACATTGTACCCATGTCGGGAATCGAACCCGGGTTTTCGGCGTGACGAGCTAACGCTTTAACCACTAGGCTACCCGACCGCCCCTGCCGCAGTTGAACATGGATACCCAACTCCGAGACAGTATACCGACTCCGAGCCGACCAGTCTTTGTTTTATCCCCTTAATGCCGAGCGCCAACCAAATTGTATACTTTCTCAAAAAACATAAGCCCTTTTAGTGAAATTGGTGAATCTACTAGAACAAACTATATTGCATCTTCGAGTCTTAAATTATAGCTCGCAATTCAGTACCGTGGGGAAGATATAGCTCATTTCAACAAGTAACGGTTTGGCTAGTCCTGCACCATGACTGTGGGATTTATATTTTTTAGGTATTTATTTTACTTAAAGCCTAGGCAAGTCTAGATCAAACTAACCAAATCAAGTTTGCTTGATTCCACATGTAAAACAGCAGAAGAGGAAACGTTCTTTCGAAAAAAAATAAAATTTTGAAGACGCGTTTTCATTGACCAGGTGTTAGTCTACGGTTCGGCGTATATTTCATGTATTGCTGTGCCTGTGTATATACAACGTTGACCTTGACCTTGTATATAATGATAAGAAAGCAATGGCATGCTCCAGCGATTATGTTTCACTGCTACCCTACAGGCAACTAATAGGGACTGAATAACGCTCAATACATAAGCTCTCGACAACAGTGTATAAATAGGGTTAACGTTAGTTGTGATAAGGTTGTATGCTGTTCCCATTCAATCATGCACGCTATTAGTCATGTTCAACGTGATTGGATCGGACATGTTCATATCGGCAGTAAATCGAACGTTATCAGATGTGACGCAACTGATTGTAAAAGTTGATTCACAGCAATTTAAGGTCAATTCAAGTATAAAGTGAACATATGCTTGATTATTCGTTTGTTGTTGAAAGCTGCACTCTGCAATATTCCACACGGACTTGAAGGTTAATGGTTGAACTTTAAGACATGGACACGTTACAATGAAAGAAAATACACGTCTCTGTTAGATCCGAAACAAAATGTGCCACTGTAGTCTGGGGACCCCATGTATATGCAACCACCATCTCTCTCTCTCTCTCTCTCTCTCTCTCTCTCTCTCCCTCCCTCTCCATCCCCTCTCTCTCTCCCTCCCCTCTCTCACTCTCTCTCCACCCCCTTTCTCTCTCAATCCCCTCACTCACCTCTCTCTCTCTACCCCTCTTTCAATCCCTCCCCACCCTGTCTCTCTCCCTCCCCACCATTCTCTCTCTCTCCCTCAATCCCCACCCCTCCCCCCTCTCTCTCTCCTCTCTCTCCCGTCTCTCTCTCTCCCTCCCCACCTTTCCCTCCCTCCCCAACCCTCTTTATCTCCCCTCTCCACACCCTCTGCCCCCTCTCTCACTCTCCTCTCTCCACCTCTCTCTCCCTTCCTCCTCACCCCTCTCTCTCTTTCTCCCTTCCTCCCCATCCCTCGCTCTCTCTCTCCTATCTCCCTCCCTCTCCATCCCCTCTCTCTCCTCTCTCCCACCCTCTCCATCCCCCCTCTCTCTCTCTACCCACCCTCCCCTCTCCCCTCCTCTCTCTCTCCTCTCTCCC